ATTTGTGCCCATTCCAAAGAAAGGCGATCCAACAGAATGTGGAAATTATTGAACAATACCATTAATATCATACACAAGTAAAATTTTGCTGAACATCATTCAAAAGCAGTTGCGGCAGTACATTGACAGGGAATTGCAAGAAATTCAAGCTGGATTCAGAAGAGGACCTGGAACAAGGACTATCACTGCTGATGTCAGATGGATCTTGGCTGCAAGCAGAGAATAGCAGAAAGATGTTTACCCGTGTTTTATTGGCTATGCAAAGACATAACAAATTATGGATAACATTGCAAAGAATGGGAAATCCAGAACACTTCATTGTGCTCGTGCGTAACCTGTACATAGACCAAGAGGCAGTCGATCGAACAGAACAAGGGGATACTGCATGGTTTAAAATCAGAAAAGGTATATGTCAGGGTTGTATCCTTTCACCATACTTACTCAATCTGTATGCTGAGCAAATAATCAGAGAAGCTGGACTATCTGATGAAGAATGCAGCTTCAGGATTGGAGAAAAAGTCATTAACAACCTGCAATAAGCAGATGACACAACATTGCTTGCTCAAAGTGAAGAGGACTTGAAGCACTTATTGATGAAGATCAAAGACTATAGCCTTCAGTATGGATTACACCTTAACATAAAGAAAACAAAAATCCTCACAACTGGACCAATAAGCAACATCACGATAAATGGAGAAAAGATTAAAGTTGCCAAGGATTTCATTTTATTTGGATCCACAATGAATACCCATGGAAGTAGCACTCAAGAAATTAAATGACGCACTTCATTGGGCAAATCTGCTGCAAAAAAACTCTTTAAAGCGTTAAAAAGCAAAGATGTCACTTTTAGGACTAATGTGCGCCTGACCCAAGCCATGGTGTTTTCAATCACCTCATATGCATGTGAAAGCTAGACAACGAATAAAGAAGACCGAAGAAGAATTGATGCCTTTGAATTATGGTGTTGGTAAAGAATACTGAATATACCATGGACTGCCAGAAGAACAAACAAATCTGTCTTGGAAGAAGTACTGCCAGAATGTTCCTTAGAAGCAAGGATGGCAAGACTTTGTCACATATACTTTGGATATGTTATCAGGAGGGACCAGTCCCTGGAGAAGGTCATCGTGCTTGGCAAAGGAGCGGGTCAGCAAAAAAGAGGAAGACCCTCAATGACATGGATTGACACAGTGGCAGCAACAATGTGTTCAAGCGAACAACGATTGTGAGGATGGCCCAGGACTGGGCAGTGTTTCGTTCTGTTGTACACTGGGTTGCTATGAGTCAGAACCGACTCAACGGCACCTAACAACAGTAGAATAATTTGGAAACAAATAGTGTTGATAGTTTGCACAACATGATAAACATGGTCAGTATCGATATATCGTACATGTAAAAAGTATTGAACTGGCAAATGTTTTGTTATATATATTTTTTACCACAATTAAGAAAAAAAGTAAAGAGATTGAATTAGTAATCAAAAACATCCCATCAAAGAAAATCCCAGGACCAGATGGCTTCACAGGAATTCTACCAAGCATTTAAAGGAGAATTAGTACCAGTCTGTCTCAAACTCCTCCAAAAAATAGAGGAGCAGTGAACACTTCCTAATTCATTCTATGAGGCCAGCATTACCCTGATACCAAAGCTAAACAAAGACACCACAAGAAACTACAGACCAATATCCTTTATGAGTATAGATGCAAAAATCCTCGATAAAATACTAGCGTACTGAATCCAACATATATTAAAAGAATTATACACTATGACCAAGTGGGATTTATCCCAGGAGTACAAGGGTAGTTCAACACAAGAAAATCAATCAATGTAATACATCACATTAATAAAGGAAAAAAACCACATGATCATCTCAATTGGTTCAGAAAAATTGTATGACAAAATCCAACACCTCTTCATGATAAAAAAAAAAAAACTCAGCTGACTCAGTATAGAAAGGAAATTCCTCAACGTGATAAAATGCATTTATGAAAAACCCACAGCTAACATCATACTCAATAATAAAAGACTTAAAGTTTTCTCCCTAAGATCAGGAACAAGATCTCACCATTTCTGGATACTGTACTGGAAGTTCTAGTCAGAGAAATCATGTAAGAAAAGGAAATAAAAAGTGTCCAAATCAGAAAGGAAGAAACAAACTATCACCAGTTGCAGATGACATGATACTTGGTATAGAAAACCCCAAAGAATCCATAAGAAAGCCAATAAAGCTTAAATGAAGTCAGCAAATTTGTAGGGTTCAAGATTAACACACAAAAATCAATTGTGCTTCTGTACAACAGCAATGAACAGTCTGAAAAGGAAATTGAGAAAATAATTCCATTTATAATAGCGTCTAAAAGAATAAAATATCTAAGAATAAATTTAACTAAGGAGGTGAAAGACTCATACACTGAAAACTAGAAAAATTGCTGAAAAATTTAAAGAAAACCAAACAAATGTAAATACATCCCATGTTCATTATTTGGAAGACTTCATATTGTTAAGATGTCAGTAATACTCAAAGCAATTTACAGATGCAATGCAATCCCTAACCAAATTACAACAGCATTTTTTGTAGAAATGGAAAAGCCTATCCTCAAACTCATATGGACTTACAAGGGGCCCCAAATGGCCAAAACAATCTTGAAAAAGAAGAACAAAGTAAGAGGACTCACAGTTTCTGATTTCAAAATTTACTACAAAGGTACAGTAATCAAAACAGTGTGGTACTGGTATAAGGACAGAAATATACCCAACAACAACAATAACAAAAAACCATTGTCGCTGAGTCGATTCCGACTCATAGTAACACTACAGGACAGAGTAGAACTGCCCCATAGGGTTTCCAAGGCTGTAATCTTTACGGAAGCAGACTGCCACATCTTTTTTCTGTGGACAGGCTGGTGGGTTTGAACCACTGACCTTTTAGTTAGCAACCAAGCACTTAACCACTGCACCACCAGGGCTTTGTGATAGAAATACAGATATATAGAATTGAGAACCTAGAAATAAACTCATAAATTTATGGTCATTGACTTTCGACAAGGGTGCCAACTCCATTCAGTGGAGAAAGAATAGTCTCTTCAACAAATGGTGCTCGGACAACTGAATTTCCACATGCAAAAGAATGAAGTTGGACCTGTACCTCACATCATATACAATAATTAACTCAAAATGGATCAATAACCTAAATACAAGAGCTAATACCATAAAACTCTTAGAAGAAAATATATCATTGGATTCTTAGATATGACACCAAAAGCAAAAGCAACAAAAGAAAAACTAGATAAATCAGGTTTCATCAAAATTAAAAACTTTTGTACATCAAAGGACATTATTAAGAAAGGGAAAAGACAACCTACACAGAATGGGAGAAAATATTTGGAAATCATATATAAGGGCTTAATATCCAGAATGTATAAAGAACTCCTACAATTCAACAATAAAAAGACAATCCAATTTAAAAAAAGGCAAAGGATTTTAACAGACATTTCACCAAAGAAGACATACAAATGGCTGATAAGTGCATGAAATAATGCTCAACATCATTAGTCATTAGGGAAATACAAATCAAAAACACAATGAGATACTACTTCACACCCATTAGGCTGGCTATCATCAAAAAAATGAAAAATAAGCCTTGGCAAGAATGTGGAGATACGGGAACCCTCATGCATTGCTGGTGGGATTGTAAAATGGTGCAACTGCTGTGGAAAATAGTTTGGCAGCTCTTCAAAAGTTAAATATAGAGTTACCGTATTACCCAGCAATTCTACTCCCAGGTATATACCTAAAAGAACTGAAAGCAGTGACTCAAACAGATACTTACACACCAATGTTCATTTACTATAGCCAAAAGTTGGAAACAACCCAAATGTCCATCAACAGATGAATGGATAAACAAAATGAGGTATATAAATACAATGGAATATTATTCAATCAGAAAGAGAAATGATCATGCTTTGACACAGATGATCTTTGAAAATACTATGCTGATGGAACAAACAATATCGTTCTTTTGAGCTCAAAGCTACAGTAATCAAAACAATGTGGTACTAGTATAAGGACAGAAATATACCCAACAACAACAAAAACCCATTGGCGCTGAGTCGATTTTGGCTCATAGCGACCCTATAGGACAGAGCGGAACTGCCCCATAGGGTTTCCAAGCCTGTAATCTTTATGGAAGCTGACTGCCACATCTTTTGTATTGTATGATCCGGCTTATATGAAATACCTAGAATAGGCAAATGCATAGCAACAGAAAGTAGATTATCAGGGGTTGGGGGAGGGAAAATAGGGAGTTATTCGTTAAGGCTATGTTTGGGGTGATAAAAAATGTTTGGAAATAAATAGCGGTGATGGTTGCACAGCATTTGAGAATATAATTAATGCCACTAAACTGAACACTTAAAAATGGTTAAAATGCAAATTTTGTTATATATATTTTACCACAATAATTTTTTTTTAAATGACTCCACCTGGTCTCTCCCTGTCTCTCTCTCTCTCTCTCTCTCTCACACACACACACACACACACACACACATTCTATTTTTAATTTATAAATGCACTTTAAAATATATAAGAGAATTTGGTGAGGTTGTAAGTGGTACTGTTTGTTTACAAGAGTTCGATACCTACAGTTGAAATGATAAGACATTAATCGAACTTCCCCTTCAGAGAACAGAATGATTTGCAAGAGAAAACTTGGAATTGTGTATTTGCAATTTTAGTTCATTAAATATTAATTCTTAAACCCTCAGGAGAGACAAATACAAACAGTCTTTTCTATGAACAAAAGCTGCTTCATGCACATCTTCAAAAACAATCTCATATTGACACTGTACCAGTTATATTTCAGTAACTCAAACATTTCCCATAATTTTTAAATTTCCCGAAAGATAAAAACAAACAAAAACCTCTGGGAAAAAATCTAGAAACCAGAATTATAACTTTCTGAATAACAAATATAATAATGTAAGAAATCAATGTCTCCATACTTCCCCAGGTGTCAACGTAGATTCTTTTCTATCGTACATACAAGAAAAGAAAAGCAGACAGGAAGAACTGGGAAGCTGTGTTGGCCCAAGCAGACCCTCTGAAGGAGAAAAATAACGGCTGTGAGTATATTCCTTCCAAATAGGAAACAACAGATGACCCCGGACAAGTTTATTCTCTGTGCAAGAATCGTAGTTATTTCATGAGCTTAGAACTGCTGGGCTGTCTTCTTTTAATATTTTATGACTGTATCCATTTGTAATAGTCTTGTTTTCCTTCCACCAAGATTGAATTTTGTGGAAGAATCAAATATCACTGTTGATCAATGGAAAAACAACAAAGGATAAAGATTTATCACCTTTTATTGAGTCTTCTAGCAGCTTTAAATAACCCATCAAATATATTCTTGAACAATAGTTAAAAGGTATATATCAAACAGCTACTGTGTTCAAAATACTAGTCTAGGTCACAGTAGTCTTATTTCCCAGGGTTACAGTAAATCTGTGTTCTCTATTTGAAAATAACCTTAGACACTCATCTTTTTTCTTCTGGTTTAGCATTTTAGTATCCTGTCCAGTTCTCATATTTTGATTTATTAATCCATTCTTACATTTTCTTCTCCTTCTATTCACCTGTCTTCCAAAAGTCCTGTGTACATCTGTCCAGGAAACCTGTAAAGGAAGGTCTCTGAAGGGTACACTTGCATACCCACTCAATGTCAAACTTGCTGGCTTGGCTCCCAGCTCCCCCAGCCAGAGCACCTTTCCATTTTCTGGCATAAGAAAATTGTTATAAATGGGTTTTCATTGATTGTTCTTATGTTCCAAGCCCCTCCCCCACTAACCCTTAATTAATGGCTTGTGTGTATGTATACATATATACTGCAACCAACAGTAAGAAATAAATTTATTTACATCATTATCTACATTATTAACATATGTGTACACATACACATCATACATACCTGAAACAAAAGTTTCATGAAAAATATCTCCACAATAGTTGATACATTGATATTTTCTATTCTATTCTAATAAATTTCATTTTCAAAAAGCGCTGGTCATGACCCACTAAACCAATTTTGGTAAGAAAGAAACACACTGCCCTAAAACACCTGTACTCTGTTGGGGCTAGGACTACACATGCTGCCCTGACAACTCTGTAGCCATTCATGAAGGAGGCTGGCTCTGGGCCACTGACCCAGTGGGGTTCTCAAGTGAGGAACAGACAAATCAGCACTATACCAGGAAGTCCACACTGACAGTGTTTTCTGCAGGTGACCCCTCATCTTCTCAAGTTTTGTAAAGACAGAATTTGGCTCAATTGCTTCCAATTCAGAGACACTGGTGAACTCCTATAAGCACTTGCCTCACTCTTCCCTTTACAGGCGCCACCCACCTCCACTCTTCACAGACCCCAGCAACTGCCTTCTCTAGGCTAATTCCAAAGTGTCTTCTTCTAAGACTCTGCCCCTAATCTCCCAAACCACTAACCCATCTAGTCCTCCTTCCAATAGCCTGGGTTAGATGCTCTTCCAGTGTGCTCCCAAGGCACTAGCTCTTACCCCTATCATACACAGCACTGGTCACACTAACTGTACTTGCCTGTTTACCTGTCTGTACTGGGCTGATCTCCCCAAGGACAGGGACGCTGCTCCAGTCTCTTGTGTCCCCAGCGCCTAGGATGGGCCCCAGCACACAGCAGACACTCAGTACTTGTTGAATAAATGGGTCACTGCTTACACCACCCCAAGGTCCAGGACATAGAGCAAAAGGATATTCATGCCCAGGTTGATGACATTCACTGCAATCCCAGTAATAATTTGAGGCAAGATGATGCCCTAAAATCATTTAAAATACATTTTCAAATACTAATTCATCAGGTTGTTAACTAAACATTAGGAGTTAAATAGCCAATGACTTTAAATTATGGCAAAGTTTCACATGACTACAACAGCCAGGGGTTCAAACTCCACAGGTTAAGCATCCAGCCAAGCTCAGTCAGAAGTCTGTAAAATGCTTCTGAGTGACTCAGATAGGTGTGAGGTAACGAACAGCACTTAGTCCTTTGTCCTTGGTTCCCAAGAGATAATCTTTGGAACTTCCTGAGTAACTGAGGTGGCGTAGTGGTTAAGAGCTCATCTGTTAACCAAAAGGTCAGCAGTTCAAATTCACCCACTGCTCCCTGGAAACCCTATGGGGCAGTTCTACTCTGCCCTATAGGGTCACTGGTTTGGTTTGTTATCTAGGCCTAGACTATATACCGGAGGATTTGTGCTAAGGAGTGGGGAGGCTGGCCAGCCAGAAGGACCACCTTGTAGCCTGATATCAGCTGACCTCAGGGAGGAAGACAGTGTGATTTAATCATGCATATGTATTGAGGCCTATATCATGCATATGCAATGAGGTCCCAATCATGACTAGGCAATGAAGCCAATAAAGGCTCTAGAAATGGAAGGTCCAGGAGCTTCCTGGTTGGTGAAAGGTATTGACACATGTGGGAGGGTAGTGTGTCCTTTTTGGAACACAGAAGTTCCAAAAGAGAAACCCTCCCAGACCTCACCCCATACATCTCTTCTTTATGCTGATCCTAATTTGTATCCTTTTGCTATAATAAATCTGTAATCGTAAGTACAGTACTTTCATTCCAGCAAATTATCAAACCCAAAAGCAGTAGTGGGAGCCACCAGGTAGAAGTGAGGGAGCCCCCCAGTTTTGTGACTAGCATCCTGAAGGGGTAGTGGGAAAACCCTGAATTTGTGGCCAGCAGGTCAGAAGTAAGAGTGTCGTGTGGACTCCTGAGCTTGTAGCTTACCGTCTGCCTACCTGGCAGTCTTAAGGACAGTGTCCTTTTAACTAGTGAGACCTGACCTAGCCCCTGTGGCTAGGGTCAGAGAGAGTAAGTGCTGCATGGGCAGCTGGTGTCATAGATGATTGAGAAGTGGGAAAGTGGAGATTTTATTAATGCTCACATTTGGGGGATTGGATTTATGTCAATTTTTATCTACAAAGTAGGTCATAGTTTCCATAACAGTAACACAGAGAGAAAAAAGAGGGGTAATAATCACATGAAGAGTAAATTGGGTCCTGGTATGGGGTGTAAAGGAAAAATTTGGGAGACTCTTGGGCCAAGTTACTTAACTTATCTGAACTTCTCTTTTCTTATCTATAAAACTGGAAGATACACCACCTACCTGTAGGGCTGCAGTCAGCATTCATGTAGTTAAACAAAATACCTAGGCAATGCCTGCTTCACAGAAGGCACCCAGTAAATAAATGTTCATCTTTTTATTTATGGTGCCAAAATCACTCATTTCTTTTGTATATGTTGCCCACTTTACACTAAACCACGCCCTCCAAAAAAAAAAAAACCAGGTGCCATCGAATTGATTCCAACTCACGGCAACCCCATGTGTGTCAGAGGAGAACTCTCCATAGCGTTTTCAGTGGCTGATTTTTCTGAAGTAAATCTTCCAAGGCACCTCTAGGTGAATTCAAACTGCCAGCCTTTCAGTAGTTGCGTGCTTAACCATTTGCATCACCTAAGGACTTTACACCAGTGCTCAAATAAACATTTTCTTTGAAATTTCTACACTTTTTTCCCCTCTGCATTTAAACAGAGTTGACTGCTATCGAAGTAGAATGTATTCCATTCTGGCTTCAATGGACAAAAGGTAAAATAAAGACAAGCATGCTGCTCGCATTTAGATGGACTTGGGAGGAGACAAAGTAAGGCAGAGCACAACCTCTTTTCACCGCCCATATGCTTCTCACCCTCGGCCTGTTCCTGGGCCTCCCCTTCTATCTCTACTGAGAGCACAGTAAACTCCATGCCTTTCAGGAATGTGGCCACAGTAACTGTGCCCTCTCCCTCTGAAACAGAAGCATCAGAGCCCAGTTCCGAAGGCAGATGCAAAGCCAGCAGCCAGCACACAGAAGAGGTAAGGGATGGGGTGTGGGCGGCTGCAGAAAGAAACAACAGGTGATCAGAGAGAAATCCAGTGGACTGATATGAGCATCTCTCCTAGGCTGGACAAAATCCATCTACAAGTACCTAGATATGCCAGGTGAAAAGCTCCGGTGTAGAGCTGCAGAAAAAAATTTATAAATTACTTTTATAGGAAATGTCCTAAAAATATTTACTATACATTTCCAGTATTATGGAATAAAGATAAAAAAAAAAACCTATACCTGACTTTGTAAATATCTTGTCTGCAGGTGGAACAGGAATGTTACCTAAAAGATTAAATAGAAAAACAAACATCTCTCAAATCTCTCAAAACAAAAGTATAATTCCAACAGTCTACTTTGCTTGTTTTTTAATAAGACACTTCTTCTTGATTTAAAAAAAAAAAAAGTTGTCCTGTAGTCAAGCCTGACTTATGGCAACCCCCTACGTGTCAGAGTAGGACTGTGCTCCATAGGGTTTTTAATGGCTGATTTTTTGGAAGCAGATTGCCAGGCCTTTCTTCCAAGGTACTTCTGGGTATACTCAAACTTCCAATATTTCAGTTAGTAGCAAGTATGTTAACTGTTTGCACCAGCCAGGGACTCCTTCCTCTTGATATGTGGCCTCGAATTCTGAGAGCCAGGGCACTAGCTATTTGCATTTTTCTAGAGTATATAAAAGATTTACTCCCTGAAGAAGTGACAGACAAATTTGAACTGGCTGAAGCAGAAGCTGCTGCTCTGACACAGTGAACAGCTCTGAGGGTGCCTGTTGGTAGCACTTCATCAAATCCCAGAGGCTCTCATCTAAGAAAGCATTTTAATTCACTTGCGATCAAAAGTAACCACAGAACAAGGAGTCAGGAAGGACATTTCTTTCCCTCATGAATGTCTGTATTTAGTTTAAGCTGCTGGACATCAAAGTGGTACAAGTTCTGAGAATCAGTGAAGTAGGGATAGCAGGTCCAAAAAATACATGTTGAACTTTTGCATAAATACTACTATGATAAAATAAACAAACAAAAAGGGATGGGAGGAGAGGCATGCACATGACTACATCCATGAGCTACTTCATGTAATGAAACATAAGAACATTCTAGAGTTGAAACTTATGGGAAAAGCAGGAATAAAAATCATCACATAAACCTGGGCTATCCTGAAATAAACAAAAAACAGCTTTCAGTTAGTATTAATCAATTGCTGGCCATGCTGTTTTCAAATGGAAGAGATTTAATAGCAGTTAAACGCAGGGCTTTGAACCGGTTTCGTCCAGTTTCACCCCCTGCTGAGAATTTGCATTTCCACCCCAGATATACTGAAGCAGAATCTACATTTTAATAAGATCCCCAGGCGATTGTTATGTATCCCTAGGTGATTCTTATGTGTACATAAGGTTTTGTTAAAAGGTAGATTCTGATTCAGTATATCTGGGGTGGAAATGCAAATTCTCCACAGGAGACTGAGCTGGACGAACCAGTTCTAAGCCCTGATTAAAAGTGATTGTTTTTCTACAACCTAAGTAACATTGCATTAGGCATGCTGAATGTCTACTTCCTAAAGGGCAGCCTGACAACTTCACATTTTTCAGCTCCTCAGTATAAAGGGTGCAATGAACATAGAAAAATGAAATAAAACTTAGGCAAAATTCAGAAACTTTTTGAAAGAGTCAGGACTGCAGCTATACCTCACAATGAAGCAAGACAAACAGCCTTCTAGAAAGGAGAGACTTCTCTTTGCATCCATATACCCCAAGAATAATACCAGAGAGCACTCGGGAACTGTAGGTTTAGGGAAAAAAAACCAACAACTCTAAAAATGAAAGTGAAGGCTGTTCTACTTTTGTCAGGGGAAAAATACTTATGCATTTACAAAACACCAAAATGGAGGAATTACATGAAAAGTAGACTAGGGCCAAGTGGTCCCTGCCAACTCTAGGATTCTATGGTCCACAGTTACAGCTTCCATTTTCACAAGAGTTCAAATCCAGATAATCAGTTGAAAATGCAGACAGAGGTGAGATGACCAGAGAGCCACTTACTCTTAACATAGAATTCTGGAATTAGAGAGGATGCTGACCTAGAGACTTCAAGATCTTGTTTTAAGAGCAAGAGGATGCACTCAGTGTTGATGAAGATGGCCCAGCAAGGAAAGCAGCACAGCATCAAAATGAGGATTCCTCTTTGAAATATGACCCCTACATGTTTTAGGTTCTTGCCTCCAAAGGACTTGAGAAAACAAATACAACCATAAAGAATGCCACAGTATACTGGACAGTGCATTGCCAACAGCTCCTCCTAAGGGGAAACTGCCCCACCTGCCCACCCTGCTGCCAAAGGCAGCCATTGTTTCTACCATCTCCTCCCTAGTCAAGCCACAGCTGATGGGACCAAGGATGAACATCAAAGCCAAGGGCAGCCAACGAGCTAGCTCACCACCTCTGGCATTTTAAACATGTCCTGGAACCATCAGACCCCTACTCCTTGGAACTGGGGCTTTTAAACATATAAGGTATTGGCAGCAGAAACTGAAGCTTAAAAGGTGCAGGTAGAACTGGGCCCACGTTAGAGTCTTCCAGATTCATTCAGCAAATATTTGTTGAACTCCTACTGAGTGCTAGGCATATTCGAGGCACTGCAATGAACAAAAGAGGAAAAAGCCCCTGCCCTCATGAAGCTTACATTCTAGAGGGATGGAGAGACAGACAATAAACGAGATACATATCCGAGCTCCTGAGTATATGTGTCTATTATATGGTGATAAGTGGTATGGAGAAAAATCAATCAGGGAAGGGGGACAGAGTGTTGGAGGGGGAGTGCAATTTTTTAAATGGTGATCAGGGAAGGTGTCACTGAAAAGGTGATATTCAAGGGTAGCCCTGGTGATAAGAGAATGAACCATGGTGGATATCTGGGAGAAGGCACAGCATGAGCAACCAGTGTGGCTGGAAACCAGAGTCCTGCAGGGCAGCAGGAGAGTGATTGGGGTGGGGGGGTTAGATCACATAAGGCCTCATCAGCCTCCACAAGAACTTTGTCTTCCACCCTGAGTGACAGCAGCTTTACTGGAGAGTTCTGCACAGAGGAGCACCATAGTCTGATTGAAGTTCAACAGAGTTATAAGGGGATAGGAGCCATGAGGAAGCAGAAGCTGACAGGTCACAGCATAGGGTAGGGCATAGTCAATGGAAGCACAACAGAGTAGCAGAGATGGAGAGGAGCTGGTCCCTAGAACAGCTTTGGCTCTTGACACCTTGTGGAATCTAGGCCATGTGTATTCTTTCTAAGTTCCTTTTCAAGTAACCTGAATGACTATCTCTTTCCTGCAACCAAAAAGAGTCTATCTTAAACATACATTAAAATAGATTTCCCCCCAAAAAACAACTTTAAAATAAAATTTCATATCCTATACCATGTCAACCCAGTGCTAACTTTGGCCTAAATTACATTAAGTACGTCAGAGCCATGCTCAGCCTAGCCTGTAAAAACTATCTCAGAATACCTCATGTACAAACTGCTGAGGAGCTGAGTGACAGAATACACCACATACGTTCCATGCTTCCCCTTTCTTGGCACACTGCCCCATCCTCAGTCTTCCAGACTTTGTGTTTAAAGGCAGGACTCATCCATTCATGCATCTATCATTCATCCATCCATCCACCCATCTACCAATGCATCCACTCATCTACCAGTGCATCCACTCATCCCCCATGTACCCATCCATCCATGCATCCATCCATCCACATTTACACATCCATCTACCCATGCATACATCATCCATTCATACATCATACATACCTCCATCATACATCCATCCATCCATGCATCATCCATTCATCCATCCATGCATTCATCCACCCTTGCATCCATCTACCCACCCACCCATACATCCATCCATCCATCCACCCATGCATCCATCCATACATCCATACATGCACACATGCATGCATCCATCCATCCCTCTCACTTATTCAACAAATTTTCAAGGTACCCACAATACAGAAAGCACAATGCTAAACCCTAGAGATTTTAAGACTGAAAGGTATACATTCCCTTTCCCCCTAAGGTGCTCAGAGTCCAGTGTGGGAAGCCATTATGGTTCTAGATTAGGTGGGCAAGATGGAAAACAGTGCCAGGGATAAATAGCCTAGACCAGAATCTGCCTCTGCTCTGATGATGCTGGTACACCAACCCAGAGTTCCCAGTCCAGGGACAGATGTTGTTGTCCTGGACCAGGGTATTGGCAATAAGGCTGGACAGAAATGATCATACTCAAGAAATATTAAGAAGTCAAAATCGATACAAACCAAAAGTTCTACTAATATGTGGAGATGGGAGATGAAGAAGGTTTCTGGCTTGAGTAGTGAGTGGTGTTCTTCCTGAGAGGAAATCCTAGAGAAGAAACATCTATCCTTATAAACTGTAAAACAAAAATGCACCCTCTAAATTAAAGGACAATAATCACCCTGTCAACCAAGGAAGCTTAGAACCTGGTTTCTCTTAAACAACATGGCATGTTTCAATTATTTCTACATTGAAAAGTTAAGTTGTATTTAATATCTAAAGATGCTGCCCCTGATTTACAGGATATGCATTTAATAATAACAGCAAACATATACTGAGCACTTACTATGTGCCAGGCACTGTCTTAGGCCCTTCACAGGCAGGATGTTATTAATACTGCTCCCATTTTATGAATAACCTGAGCTACAGAAAGAGTGGAAAAGACTAATGAGTTTAGTTCTGGTTGGGCTGAGTTTGAGATGCAGGTATATTTGAGATGTCCAGGAGATAATTCAATATTTGAATCTGGTACTCAGGAGAGATATGTGGGCAGAAGATGGAAAATTGGGGGTTTCAACACCAAAGTGGAGACAGAAGCCGCAGGAAAGTAGAAGGTGAGGGGTTGGGAGGATCTCTGGAGGAAAGTCACACTTGAGGGGCAAGTCACTAGAGTTTTCGATCATGAAAACCAAAGGAATGTTTCAAAAAGCAGGAGGTGTCAAGTGGGTTAAGGACTGTAAAGTGTTCACCTGATGATTTAGTCACCAGAGGCCCTGAAGAAACCAGGTTGAGAGGAATGGGCAGGAATGGGAAAGTATCAGACGGGACTGAGTTGAGAGTGGGAAGTCAGGAAAGGGAATGCAAATAACATTTTCAAGAAACTTAGCTGTGAAGGAGAGGAGAGACAGAGTGATGGTGTGGTGAGGTGGTGGGTGAAGGGAGAGTGGTGTTAGGTAGGAAAGATCGGACAGAGAGGAGCAAGGAAAACAGGGTCCTGGAGAAGATAAAAACCCCCGGGACAGAATTAATAAAGCTCACTCTACTTACGGTGTTGGCGAAGAATACTGAATATACCATGGAATGCCAGAAGAACAAGCAAATCTGTCTTGGAAGAAGTACAGCCAGAAGCTCCTTAGAAGCAAGGATGGCAAGACTTCATCTCACATACTTTGGACATGTTATCAGGAAGGACCAGTCCCTGGAGAACAACATCATGCTTAGTAAAGTAGAGGCTCAGCGAAAAAGAGGAAGACCTCATTGAGATGCATTGACACAGTGGCTGCAACAATGGGCTCAAACATAGCAACAATTGTGAGGATGGCGGAAGACCAAGCAGTGTTCCGCTCTGTTGTACATAGGGTCACTATGAGTCTGAAAGGTCTCGACAGCACCTAACAACAACAACTCTACTTGTATTTACAGTTATTCCAATACAAACCAAACCAGTTGCCATTGAGTCGATTCCAATTCATGGCAACCCTGTTTCAGAGCAGAACTGTGCTCCCTAGGGTTTTCAAAGGCTATGACTTTTCAGAAATAGATCGCCAGGGCTCCCAAACACCTCTGGGTAGATTCAAACTGCCAACCTTTCAGTTAGTAGCTGAGCGCTTAACTATTTGTGCCACTCAGGGAATACTATTTGCAGTCATTACCAGCATCGTATTTGACAGATAAAAGACAATAACAAGTATTAGAGGGGATATTTCCCTATACAGTCTCTAAGATGAAAGGTAACTAACAAAAAAAGTATATGGGTGGGGGTGAGGACTCTCACTCACCTGGCTCATTAGTGTGTCACAAGCTGAGGCTAAACCTGTTCCAGCTGAAATCCCAGTAACATTCACAATCTGCAAAAAATAGCAGACCAGGTGCAGTAAACATTCAGGGGAACTATGCAAGAACAGAGTCATGTCAAACAACTCCCTTTCTAAAGAAGAAACCTCAACAAGTTTATCTCTAAAGAACAACCCAGAAGTGTACACTTAAGGCTCTATATTGCAGATTAAAAGAGTGTCCATGTCTATCCGTCTCAACTATAAAACAAAAATACACCCTCTAACTAAAGGACAATAATCACCCTGTGTAACCAGAGAAGCTTACCAAAAAAAAAAACCCATTGCCATTGAGCTGATTCCAACTCACAGTGACCCTATAGGACAGAGGGTAACTGCCCCATAGAGTTTCCAAGGCTATGATTTTTACGGAAGCAGACTGCCACATCTTTGTTCCATGGAGAGGCTAATCGGTTTGAACCGCCAACCTTTTGGTTAGCAGCCGAGCGTTTAACCACTGTGCCACCAGGGTTCCTTCCAGGGAAGCTTACCGAAAAGAAAAAAAACCAAACCCATTGCTGTTGATTCCGACTCATAGTAACCCTATAGGACAGAGTAGAACTGTCCCATAGGGTTTCCAAGGAGTGCCCGGTGGATTTGAACTGCCCACCTTTTGGTTAGTAGCCGAACTCTTAACCACTACACCACCAGGATTTCCCAGGGAAGCTTAGAACCTAGTTTTTCTTAAACAACACAGATGTTAAAATTATTTCTACATATAAAAGTTAATCTGTGCTTAATATCTAAAGATGCTGCCCCTGACCTGTAGGATGTGTATTTAATAATAACAGCAAATATTTACTAAGCACCTACTATGTGCCAGGCACTGTCTTAAGCCCTTCACAGACATGTTGCTATTATCACTGCTCCCATTTTATAGATACCCTTAGTTACAGAAAGTTGATGTCACTTGCCCGAGGTTACTCAGATGGTGACGTGAAATGGGATTAGATTTGTGTTATCCTGTCTACAGACCCTCACCCAACCCCCATGACACCCAAGGGCACGGAGGGTAACCTGCAGGTATGGGAGAGGGTCTAAATGTGCTGTTTTACAACACAGCAGGGGAAGTGGAAAGAACACAGGGCTAGAGGCCAGAAGATCCTCATTTTCATCCTGGTTCTCACATTTAGTGGCCAGATAAGTTCACTTCAGTGAGCTATCCATTTTCTCATATGTGTAAAAACAGATGAGACTACTATCCCCAGACCAACTGATCTTAAAAGGCTGCCCTGGAAAAAGATTAGTCCAAAGGACTAATGGACCACAGCTACCACGGCCTCTACCAGACTGAGTCCAGTACAGCTAGATGGTGCCTGGCTATCACCACTGACTGCTCTGACTGGGATCACAATAGAGGGCCCTGGACAGAGCTGGAAAAGGATGTAGAACAAAATTCTAACTCACAAAAAAGAAGACCAGATTTACTGGCCTGACAGACTGAAGGAACCCTGAGAGAATGGCCCCCAGACACCCTTTTAGCTCAGTGGTGAAGTCATTCCCGAAGTTCACCATTCAGCCAGGGATTGGACAGTCTCATAAAACAAAACAGGACTAATGAGGCACAGCAGTCCAGGGACAGGAACTAGAAAGCAGGAAGGAGACAGGAAAGCTGGTAATAGGGTACCCAAGGTTGAGAAGGGACGGTGTTGACATGTCATGGGGTTGTTTAGCATTGTCAAAGGGCAATATGTGTACTAAGTGTTTAATGAGAAACTATTTGTTCTGAAAACCTTCATCTAAGGTATCAAAAAAAAAAAAAAAGAATTATCTATGTGAGATCAAATTGACAACAGCAACTCAAAAGGTTTGATGGGAAGCCTAGGGGGCAGTGAGTTGAAGATAATGGTGATGGAATAATTTGGAAAAAGATAGTGAGAATAGCAGCACAACTGGAAGAATGTAATTGATGTCACTGAATTGTACATGTAGAAACTTTTGAAACGGTGCAACTTTGGCTATGTATATTTTCACCAAAAAAAAGGTCCTCCAAGGTCAAGAAGGGAGAGTGTTGACATGTCATGGGGTTGTTAACCAATGTCATAAAACAATATATGTACTCGCTGTTTAATGAGAAACTATTTGTTCTGTAGACCTTCATCTAAAGTACAATTAAAAAATTTTTTTATTTAAAAAAAAAAGTGGGGAAAAAACAAAGGCTGTCCTGGGGATTAAATGAAAATGAATGTGCAAATACTGAAAAGGATTGTAAAGTTCAGCGCACAATAAAGCCAACTCCGACTCATGGCAACCCCAAGTTTGTCAGGGTAGAACTGTGCTCCACAGGGTTTTCAATGGCTGATTTTTTGGAAGTAGATCATTAGGCCTTTCTTTTGAGGCACCTCTGGGTGGATCTGAACTTCCAACCTCTCTGTAAGCAGCTGAACACATTAACCATTTGTTCCACCCAGGGACTTCACAACTCTAGCCCTAGTAACCACAAACTCTAATCCCCAGGTGGTCAGTAACAGGTCATACACAGAGCGAGCACCATAGGAGGCAAGAGCCTCAATCTCAGCGGAAGCCAAAGGTTCATGGCAGGATAAGGACCAGGGCACAACGACACCAAGACCCTGTCCTAAATTCCATGCCAGCACAGTGTCGTGACAAAGCTCCAAAACGACTTAGACTTCTAGGAAAAGACAAAGGTGAAGAACACACATTTCTGAAAAGTTTTGTATTAAAAAAAAAAGTTACACATGAGTCTTTTTTTATAAACTGACTAACTCAGTTTGGTTGAGGTGGGATATTAATTTTCCTCTACAGCCTGAGTTGAGTTAGAGCTGTGTTCTTGGTGATCAACAAGTTCGTTGATTTTACCAAACTGAGCTCTAATGTTGTTTAGACCTTTAGCTTATAATGCATGGCATTATAATAAAGGACTGTACAAAAACTGTTACTGCATCTGTTGCAGCAAGTTGTCTAGCAAGTGTCCACTTTATGAGAATCTTCAAGAGAAATGTCCCTACGTCTCAGTATGAACAAAAGCTATCCTTCTCCAAAATAAAGTATCATGCAAGTAGGGAGCTTACAGTAAAATTTGCAGCCTATCTTGTGCTAATCTTACCCTCAGCTTGAATCTTTTTCCATCATGTTACTTTGACTCGATTCTACCAGCTATTTATTTATCCTTCTGTATTTAATGTATTTTTGTAAACTAGCTCAAACTCTTTGTGGAACAAGATGAGGTATAAATAAATATTCTTTTATTTAAAAAACAAACATTTGGAAATAGACGGAGGTGACAGGTGCACAACTTTGTGAATGTAATTAATGCCACTGAACTGTATACTTAAAAACGGTTAAAATGGTAAATTTTGTTATATATATATTTTACCATGATCAAATTAAAGACACACTTTTGTAAAACCTTTCATCCCATCTAGAATATCTGACAAGGTAAAAAAAAAAAAAGTATCTGCTTTCATATAAAGAGTTTTATTGAAATTGAGCCTATTGTCATCTTAGCAGTTAGTTACAACTTAACAGCAGATTAAAAGCCAACTATCACCATCCATTTGCCAAGGAAGATGAGTACTGATCTACCTCATCAACAGAAATTCCTGTCTTTGGAACATACTAGCCTTCCCACACACCATACTCAGGCCGTTCTACATAATTTTGGATTTGTATTTACTCTATTCCTATTTTTTTAATATCAGAAAATAGAAAAACTTCCACCACTTCTCATCATTGGATGACTTGGGGGAAAAACAGAAAAAAGGGGGGAAGGAAATCAACACAAACAACATATAAAATCTTAATTTAGCCCCCCCCCCGCCAAGATATATTTTTTAATGGATTTAATAAAATAAATGAAACAACAGGGGTCACAAGACTACACAAATACACAACTGTAATGTTTTAACCCTCACCATTTACAGAATGGAAAAGGGTAAAGACGTAGGGTTGAAGGAGGGAAGAAGAGATCAGTGTGGGAGATGCTGAGGAGAGAGCTGCTCACAGCAGCAGCACACCTGACCTATGTGTTTCTCTGAAATCTTTGGTAGGGCCAGGTCTGTACCAGGAACCAAGCTATGCAAAAATGAAGACGAGCTTGCAGATCAGTAGGAGAGAAAAATGGAGACAGAATGTCAGCAGAACACAGCAAGTGCCTGACAGAGGCAAGCACAGGACTCAGGGTGCAGGGTGCTCTGGGCCCTGTGGGGTCTCCAGAGGATGTTTTCTGGCGATGCCCCCTACGCTGTGTCTACAAGGACATGTGTGAGTTAATCAGGAGACCAGCGCAGTCCAGAGCTCACACATAAGAAACTGCAAGGACAAAGAGGGGTGTGGGGTGGGCACGAGGCCGAGACAAATGGAGGCCGAGATGCCTGGACTTCATTAGTCAGGTGATGGGGAGCACTGAAGGGTTGTAAGCTGGAGTGACATGATTGGATCTGAGGTTTAGACTCAAGCTGCAGAATGGAGGAGGGCAGGATGGAGTCACGGCTAGAGGAGGAGAGGCCAGTTAGGCACCAGAGATAGCAGGACCCAGAAGAAAGGGAGTGATTTTAAGAAATTTTGGAAATAAAGTTACCAGGGCTTGCTAACTGATGGAGATGTGGGGTACAGACACAGAAAAAGTGTCTAGAGTACTCCCAGGGGAAGATGATCACTTTAGCTGCAAGTATAGAGTCTGAAGAGTCCCTGGTGTACTGAAGTTGGTATATCCTGCAAGCTGTTAAAGAGATGAGTTAGAAGCCCCGGTCAAGGACAGAGATACAGAATTGGGAAACACCAATAAAGAAAGGACATTAAAAACAAAAAAAAGAGAGAGGAAGGGAAAGAGAGAGAGAGAGAAGGAGAAGTCCAACTATCAGAGACGTAGCAAGAAAACCAAGAAAGGACAGAGAGGGAAAAGCAGCGTGGCAGGTTCCAGAGGCCAAGAAAGGGCAATTTCTCTGGGTATGGCAAAGAGGAGGTCACTGACAACTTCTGTCACAGCAGATTAAATGGAGCAGTGGGAGAACAGAGACCAGACTGCAATAGGGAGAAAACAGAGATATAATGGC